AAGGGTCTTTTACTCAAGGCCCTTCGTTCATCATACCAAGAGCATTTAATTTCTAACACTTATTATTTGTTACAAACATGGATAGATACACAACAGTGCATTTATGGTCAGTGTACATAGATAGGTACACCAGGTAAGGCAACCACGGCTAGTGAGGGTGAGTGTGAGTGAAGGACAGCCATACCTGAGCGACGTGATCATGTATTCCACCCTTGGCCATCATCCGCAGTGTGTTGACAGACATTTCTAGTGCCTCCCTCCCTGTCTGTGTGGTGTTGTCACGCGCGTACACGTGGAACAAGAAGTTAAAATTCACTGTGAAATCAAACAGATATTTCAGCATACGAACCCAGACAAATGGAACATCCCGACACCCGTTGAGCAGAGAGATTCTTGACCTTTGAACTTCTTGACCCTCAAGTCATTTGCAGTGAACACGAGCCTGTAAGTGGAACACTAGGTGGCGCTACTGACCAGGCTGAGGGAACTTTGGTTGTTTGTTGAAGCCACCGAGGACGCCATCGTAGGATGCTGTGAGCATCGTGTGACACTTGGAGATGCAGTCGTCATCCGGCATCGTGTCAGCCTCCGTCCGCACCTCTGTGCCCTTCATCAACGCATTCAGGATGATCGTACCCTGAGACTCCAGCTTCTCCTTCTTCGTCTCCCACTGGAACAATAGGGAACTGTTGGTGCAGGGTAGAAAGACAAGATGAACTATATGTTTACATGAAATCCCTCAGCTAGTGAGTGAGATAGACAACCTAATCAAATGATGTATAGTATACAGGTACACCACCGATTTTCCGGACACTGATGGTCCGGAACCTCTTTTAGTCCGGATAAAATTCACCCACCACCACCTTGTTTTGCTCAAATTTTACCCTAGCTATGGCGTCTAAGGGCGCGTTTGCTTGGAACGAATCCGTCGAATCGCGATCATGTGATCCTTATCCGACCAAACAAACGCAAACTCACTTTCACCGGTTCATGTTTCGCTGTGACCTATCACGGGATGGTTCATAACAAAGAACAAGCTGTGATTGGCTAAGGCGCAGGCCGCCATATTGGATCCCGTTCGGATCCACCTCGCTAGCAGGGTCGGGTTCGGTGGATCAAGATCCGTGGGTCCGACCAAACAAAGAGTCAGATCAACGAATCCATTGAATCGAGATCCGTGGATCCGACCAAACAAACACGCCCTAAGGTAGGTGCAAGTGTCAGTGGTGGTTTACATTTAATTTACATTTAATATTTGTTTACATTTCTAGCAGTGCATGGCGCTTTAGAGATGAAAGGAGACATGATGGGAGGTATTTAGCAATGATGGGAGACATGATGGGAGGTATTTAGAGATGATGGGAGACATGATGGGAGGTATTTAGAGATGATGGGAGACATGATGGGAGGTATTTAGAGATGATGGGATCAAAGCTGTACATGTACGTACTCAAAGCTGTACATGTACGTACTCAAAGCTGTACATGTACGTACTCAAAGGTACCTCAAATACCATTTCCTACACGCCGCAGAAACGCACAAGCAAATGGTCTCCTTCTGGGTGGAGGGACACACCCCTAATTGCTGTTCTCTGATTGGCCACTTGGCAAAAAAACGTCCAACTCGCCTACTCCGTATGTTCCATGTTCCAATCTCCCAACTCGCTGCTATCGATAGGTTGGACGCGCAACTTTTGCGATTACACTGCCGATTGTCAGTTGCCAAATTGCCAAGTTTGTACAATTCGGCAATTCGGCAACTCAAAATCATCAGTGTAAACCCAGCTTAATACTAAGAGCAGATAATGCCACATGTGCTTATACAAATACATGACAAGACTAGATTACAATGTTGCAATGGTAAGTATGTAATCAAACTCTTCCATACATATCTGCATCATACATCTGTAGTTGTAAGTGGCAGGGTTACACGCACCTGTAATGGATCAACGTTGCCAGCCTTCTCCACGCCGTAATGCTTACTGAAGACATCTGCTTGTGTGATACCATCAGTGGCTCCATCTACGGGAGCAGACAGCAACCGTCTGACCTCGTCATCGGTCCACACGCAGAAAGCGCCCTCTTGTTTCTCTGTAGCGTCTGCTGTGGCCAGTGAGTCAGCGTCCTCAGCACTGTAGAAGCCGCCCTCCTGGAGTAGAACACACACAACACCCGGTAACACCTCACAATAGTGGCATCAGATCCTGGAGTAGAACACACACAACACCTGGTAACACCTCACAACACCCGTTAACACCTCATAACAGTGGCATCAGATTTCATGTCATCACAAAACATAATCTGAAGAGAAATTACTACCATTACCTCCAAACAAAATTATTCTATAGACTGGGTAACAAGCAGCTAAGTGTGATGTATTAAACGTAGGTGGTTGTGAGTTACAGGGCTGCTGACTGGCAGCATGTATTAGCTACTCTGCTCTGTATGAGGGGGGGAACGGGTATTTTCGGGACGCGGGATTGGCCATTTTAATTAGCTGGGAACTGGGAAATGTGAGATAAATTTTCCGTGATTCGGGAACAGAAGTCCATCGGGACGTGGGAAAGACCCTCTAAAATTGTCTGGGATCTGGGAAATTTGTGTCAATTTTTCGGGATTTCAATTTCTGCGCTAATATTTATTTTATTTTTTATTTTTTAGGCTATTCGCCCGACCGTCGGGTGTGTATGTTAATTGCTACTGACTATTCGCCCGACCGTCGGGCCAATCTACTGCTTACTGTACTCTGATACTGATTACTCATGTAATTAACTAATTATTAATTGTCAAATCTAACGTATGTAAAGGTGTTAAACACTGTTAGTGTTATATATATCATTATATGCTTACAATTCATTATTTTCCTATCTCATATATCATATGTGACTGCTTTATATATACATTCTTGATAAGTATATTTCTATATCATGCTATATTTCTATGTATGTTCAGTTTGAAAAACCGTTCTGTTTGTTTTTTTATTTATTTTATTGTTATTATTGTTATTCTTTATTAGCATGTAAATATTCGATTACTGTACTGTACCGGTACTGATTATTCCAACATATTTTGTATATTCAATTCATGTCTGCTGCTTGTTCTATTTCCTGTTCAATTTTGCTTTTGTTTTATTGTTACCTTACAAACATTTGGTTCAAATATTTCTCATCATACATCGTATTCTTATGACAGACGCCTTTACACTTAATTAATTTCTCTAAAGATTGGCTGACTTGATGACTCAGACTGTATGGTCTTTTCGCCATCCCTTCACTGCACGTTATTTATATTTTGTTAAAAAATCCTTGTATTTGCTATATTGAAAGTGATAAAATAAACTCTTATCTTATCTTATCTTATCCTATCTTATTAGGCTTATAGGATGTATTCTTATTAGGATGTATTCTGGCTATTCGCCCGACCGTACTATTTGCCGGGCCTATTTGCTGTTTATGTGATAAGCCGTTAAGCAGATTTGATGTAGGCTATATCACAAATTAATTTTTTCCAACATTTTGACGTCCCGTTAATGTGTTAGACGATTAACTTCATGACTTCATTACATAATGTGTCACAGAGCGAGAGAGCGATGTGATTTGCAGTCCCTTCTGCCAGCAGGTTACATACATGTACATGTCAATTAGCAACCTATGGGGCGCCGTTTTACTATTTATTCAGTATTTATTGATATCAAGAATTAATTCTTGATATATCAAGAATTCTATTTCTTGATATCAACAATTCGATTTATTGATATAAATAATTATTTGCGAATTCTTGATATCAAGAAATACTGAATAAATAGTAAAACGGCGTCCCCTAGCAACCGGGGTGATTTTTAAATATAAATATTCTATATAACTGTCAAGTGTTTTTAACTTAATTGAAGTATGAGAAATTCAAAACTGCAATCAGTTTTCTTTTAGATTTTTTTTTTAAATGCCACGATTTCAAACAGGTCTACGTTATAGTACGCCTTGTTTTCTTTCAGGTAACTTTGAGCAATTTCACCCAGTTTCTAACATCTTTTTTTTTTAAAGGCTAGCGTGTGACTGGGGAAACATACTGCACACCAGTGTTGATGTTTAGTTTCTGTACACAGATATTTATGTTAAACCCAAGTACATCATTTAAATTCGATATTTTGCTTTAAAAATGAATAATATAGTTTGCTTTCATAAACTGAGATTTTTCCAGCTCAAAACTACTGTAACAGTAGTATTTGTTCGTAACACTGTCACATAATTTTTCATAGTAGCCCGTAAAGGACCATGTGTGGTCGGGTCAACTTCTTTTCTCACGAGTGTAACATTAGCGTGGGAGAGCGGAGCCCCCGGTCGCTACTGTTATTCCTTTAACTGGAAACCAGAAAGCCATACAATCTACACTGAAACTTTTGTGATCACTGCAAATTCACTGTTTGGTGAGATTGATGCCTTTTTGAGGGTCCTTATGGGCATTACTGAATAACGTAATACATGTTTAAACACACTATTGTAAGCGTAAAATCAATCAATTTTATTGTAAATGTAAAATACATTTGAATACTGAATAACGTAAGAGTGAAACAATTACTGAACATCATATAAAACAGGGGGAGGCAGTAGGCCTAATAAACTATAAGATCGTGTAAAATAAGCATCGCATAGTTAATCCAGTTACCATACTCTTGGTTATCATATGTACATGTATTTCAATTTCCAATCAAACAAACAGTTTAAGATATTTACAACGGGTAATCACAGATGGTTGTCACAAGACAGACCGTTACGGCTCTATATAAACGCAACTGTAAGCTATTATGCAAGAACAACTGGTAGAGTTAGGGTCGTGTGTGTGAGGTGAGAGTTAGGGTCGTGTGTGTGAGGTGAGAGTTAGGGTCGTGTGTGTGAGGTGAGAGTTAGGGTCGTGTGTGTGAGGTGAGAGTTAGTGTTGTCACTGTCGTGTGTGGGAGGTGAGAGGGAGTATAAGTACCATCATCATGACAATATGTCATTGCAGGCATATCACGCAGCCATGCAAGCAACGCTGAGCTTTGAACTTCAAAAATGGGAAGAAGCGATGGAACTATTCCAGAAAGCCAGGTAGGAAGAAGTGTTCCCAGTAATAACTAGGAATATAAATATGGCTGTAATGTCGTAATAGTCGCTAGGTCTCAGGCTGGAACCTGTTATCATATCGCTATCATAGCATCAGAGTCTCTCCTGTGATGCAGTGCATAGCAAGCCCTCGGTAATGCCACGCAGGGTATAAACACTTACTCGTCCCTGTCTGCTGGTGACATACACTTACTGGTCTCTGTCTGCTGGTGACATACACTTACTGGTCTCTGTCTGTTGGTGACTAGGACTATCTATGAGAAGCTAGGATCCATGTTGACTGAGGATCTGAGGCAGCTGTACCAGCAGAGAGTAGAAGAGCTGCTACCTAACATCCGTTACTGCGCCTACAACATAGGAGACGAGTCGGCTCTCAGTGACCTCATGCAGATGAGATTAGCGTCAGGGAAGGCTGGCGGGGAGGATCTACTGTCATCTACCATAGATGTAAGTCACCTAGTGTAATGTACCACATACACACACACACACACACACACACACACACACACACACACACACACATCATCAGCATTGTGTTTTACCACCAGGTTCCTGTATGTGCCCCTCATCAGCATTGTGTTTTACCACCAGGTTCCTGTATGTGCCCCTCATCAGCGCTGAGCGGGCGTGGAGCTACGCTATGCAGCTGAAGACTGAGTCGAACACGGAACCGCGTAAACGCTTCCACATGATCGAGCGTCTGCGGCGAGCGACGCAGCATGCCGACGCACTGCTGAGAATCAGCAACCATGAGAAGTGTGACGCGCGCACCAAACTAGAGGGGCAGGTGAGATACGGGTAGGGGTGTGTGTGAGGTGAGAGTTAGGGTCGTGTGTGTGAGGTGAGAGGAAGGCAGAGTTAGGGTCGTGTGTGTGAGGTGAGAGGAAGGCAGAGTTACGGTCGTGTGTGTGAGGTGAGAGGAAGGCAGAGTTAGGGTCGTGTGTGTGAGGTGAGAGTTAGGGTCGTGTGTGTGAGGTGAGAGTTAGGGTCGTGTGTGTGAGGTGAGAGTTAGGGTCGTGTG